CCTGCCCCACTTGAGCCCGGAGACGACCGTGGCCCCGGCCCAGGCCGTGACTGCAGCCTGAGACGGAGCCGCAGGGCCCGGCTGGGCTGCACCCAGACCCCTGATCCGCACACGCGGCCAAGTGAGAAAGAATCGCTGCCGTCACTAAGTTTGGGATCACTGTTAGGCAGCAATAGAGAGGAACACAAGGTGACAACTCAGGACAAAATTTTAATTTTAAGCCTGTTTTTAAAAACTGTACCTGTGTCTCCTCTTTCTGCCTAAGTACCTGAGACCTCCGTGGTCTCCTGAAGGTCTGTTCCCATCACCTCAAGATGCCCTGGTTCCCAGAAGCCATCCCATGGCCCGGCATGTCCAAACCCCACTCCTGTCCCGGGCCCCCTCCTCTGGGCACAGCCTGCCATCCCCCCGGGCAGCAGGCGCCAAGCCCACTGTCCGGTGGTAGGTCCCTCCCCAGCTCTGACCCCACGAGGCTGAAGAGTGTCCTGAGAGGGTGGGTCTGGCGCAGGCTGCCGGCCTCAGTTTCCTCATCTGTAAAACGGGGAGGTTACGGGCGCTTCTCTTGAAAGAATGTTCTGGGCATTAAACAAGATCTTCCGTGTCTAAATGTGGCACCTGACTCAGCTCACGAAGTGTTTTAGTTGTTAAATTTGACTTAATTTCCAACTTTAAAATTCAACTGGGCTCCAGGAGAAACGGCCGATCCCAGGGCTGGGGCGGGAAAGCGTAAGAGCCTGGAGCTCCCGGGGGCCAGGAAGGAGGGAAGTGTTTAGAACTGAGATGGCAACGTGTCCCAGGGGCCCAGAGCCAACCCGACCAAGCTCCGTCACTGAGGCCGGAGCAACCTGCACGACACAGTAAACAGCGTGACACGGGACTAGAACCCGACGAGTCAAATGAATGCACAGGAGTCTGATGGGAGCGAACGATGAGAGGGAACGTGGGCACGTTACGGCGGAGAAACCTGACCAGACTAACTCCGTGACGTCCTGTGGGTGCCACGTGCCCTGCGACGATGTGACGGGAAGCGCCTCACCTCTGTGGCGTTCTCTCCAGAAACCCATAACCCCCGTCTGACCACAAGAGAAACATCAAACCCAAACAGAGAGACCATCTACAACAAGCATGTCAAACTCACGGCCCACAACGAATATTTTTGCGGCCCAGCCAATATAACGGTATGTAAGAAACATTTTAATAAAAAGTTTGTAACTTAATTTTTACAATATCCTGTTATACATAATGATTAATAACAAACTACAATGTTCGCTAATGACTGATTACTACAATTGTGTTGCATTCATTTCCCTTACGCGCCTTACACGCAGGCGCACCATTTCTCTCCACTAATACCAGCAGCGAACATTTTAGCAGCCGATGGCCACGTCATTAGTCTTGGACTGACTTGTTTGGTGTGTGCACAGGAAATTTTTTGCTTTTGAAGAACAAGAAAAATACTTTTATTTGCATTATGCTTATTAATTTGTGCAGTTATTCAGTGTCTGGTAAGTTAAAGTTCAAGAAGAAATATTAATTTTTATTAAAATGTTCTATTAAATTATGTTAACGATGACTCATTTATTTCAGCCCTCTGTGTTCAGCACGTCTCTATGGAAATAAACCTACATCTCTATGAAAATGGAAGCTTTTGTGTGTTTTTTGCGGCCCACATACACTTAAACCTTGTTTATTTGGCCCGTGTTAGCCTTAGAGTTTGACCTGCTTGGTCTACAAAATGCCCAAACTGCAAAGTACTCCTCGAACTGCAAAGTCACGGAAAGCAAGGAAAGAAACTCGGAGACTGCGGAGGCTAAGGAGACGGGCCGTGCGGTCTCCTCGCCGGGCCTGGAGCGGGAGCGAGGCACGAGTGGGAACGGGGAAACAGAAGTCAAGTGTGAGTGGTGTGAGCAGCCCCGGCCGGGGCTGGTGTTTACCGTTTCAGTGTCGGGTGTTAACAGAGCAGGCACTGGGCGAGGGGATGTGGGAGCTCTCGGTACTACCTCTGCAGCTTTTCCATAAATCCAACACTATTCCACAGCAAAGCACACACATGTGACTGTAAAAAACACTGCAGCGGTCAAGTCTGGATGAACAGCTTCTCTTAAGAGTCAGCAGCTTCGGCAACATGGGCCTGTGTCTCCCCAGGCACCGAAGCTGCTCCCTCCGGATGGGGCAGCTCAGCCACCACCCCTCCCTCACGCCTCAACATGTCCATGTGCTGCCCGGCTCCCGCAGCACCTGCATTTGCCACGCGATGGGAAAAGTCCTCGCTGTCCCCCTTCTTCCCAAGGCCACGTTTCCAGAGGGAAGCCCATCTCTCAACAAGGCTACCCTCAGGAGCAATCGCCACGACGTAATCCAGAGCAGGTAACTCGTGGCGAGGACAGAACACAGTGGATCAAATGCAATCTTTTCTTTCTATTAATTGGTAAGGAAACATATGGGGGGGCGGGTGAGAATCGGAAGGACTTGGTCTTAGCAACCTAGAGGAGAGAAGCGAACGCCGCATAGAGGAGATTCACGGAGCAACCCCTGCCTCCTCTGAATGCGAAGGAACCAGACGAAAGAGGTCTGTGGGCCGAGCGGGGCCTCTGAGGCTGCTACTCCGCCAGCCGAACTGTGAGTGTCAGGGAGCTCTCTGCACCTGCCCAGGGGCAGGCTGCACCCGGGGAAAGCAGAGGGTAATTTTTGGGAAACAGGCCCTGTAAAGAGGAACTATTTTATCTTCAACCTTATTTCACCGGTGATGAAACTGAGAAAAGGTCAGGAAAACGGAATGAGCTGGCCCAGGAGCACAAAGCTACAAAGCGGGAGATGGGGGACTCCAATCCAGGTTGGTCTGAGGCCATCCCCCCAAACCAGAGATCCGCACACAGGCTCTGTCTACCCACAGAGAACCAGCATCGTGCCTTAAACACACACACACACACACACACACACACACGCAAAAAGGAACCAAGAAGAGCACAACCCAGCCAGGTGCCAAGATCTACAATTAAGACTATTTCCCTTAGAAACCCAGGTTTCTGGCTGCTGAAGACCAGGCCACACTGAGGCCCAGGTTCCACGTGGCAGCAACCATCTCGAGCGGGGTGGCAGCTGCCTGCTTTGGTTAACCACAGTCCCCACCACTCCCTAGTGTATCCCCAGCATGCCGTCCCTGGACACCCTGTGCCCTTTCCTTGTTATAGGGGAGTCAAAGGGAAGCAACACATTTCTTTTCTCACAGCCACCCCACGACACACCATCGCGTCCCAGGCACCCGAGTTTGCCTGTTTTGTTTGTTCCCGAGCAAAGAGATGTCAGTGAGGAAGCAATGCTTTTGAGGCCCTGCCAGGACGACCCC